TGACAAATATGATAGCTTCAGTTGCCATTGTAAGTTGAGGACTACCCATCACAAGTTCCCCTGGCTCTTGCTGAGACACTGCTTGGCTAAACTTACGAGATCTTTTCCTGGTTCCTGCTTAAGGCCTGTCCCATCTGCTCCAGTTCATGGTTGACCTTTTTAAAATGGCAAAGATTCTTCGGCCACTTGACCTTTCCTTAAACCAGGGGTCTCCAAACTTGGCAACTTAACTCCCAGAATTCCCCCACCAGCATAGACACTCTGTGAGTCTGTCCTCAAATCCAAAGCCAACCTCCGGCATTTCCTGGTATTTCCCCTATAGAAGAGGCTTCTGGTTTTCTGCCTTATTCTAGGATGCTCTAGGACGGTCCCGCCCAGCAAGACTTTTGCCAACTGCTGGATGAGTTGATGTGAAAAAGATTCCTAGGAGCAGCTCCACAAACAACTGCCCCACTTCAGTGTCTTACCTTAGGGTGTAAGGCAGGGGTTTCCAAGACTGGTAGACTTCAACCCCCAGAATTCCCCAGCTAGCCATGAAGTCCAGACACCTTAAAGCAGGGCTGTTAAACTGCTGGCCCACAGGCCGGTTTCATCATACCGAAGCTGCGCCCACCCCATTGATGGCAATGCAAAGAGTCGCGATACGTCGTGACATGTCACGTGACGTGGCGAGTTTGACACCCGTGCCTTAAAGCATGCTGGCTGGGGAATTCTGGGAGTTGAAATCCACCTATCTTCCAGTGACCAAGACTGGGAAGCACTGATCTAACTGGGGGATTCTGGGAGTTGAAGTCCACCCATGTTCCAGTGACCAAGGCTGAGAAACAGAGGGTTAGGGATGCCAACAGCTTCAAGAGGCTGCCCAAATTAGGCATCTGACTCTCCACGCATTCCCTATTTCGTCCTCTATTCAGTGCTAGTTGGGGCTTAACAGCCCGGAAACCAGGAAAGACATTAAATGAGAATGCCGGAAACCCAGGCTATATATGGAGGGGGGGGGGATGAGTCACATGGCGACTGTGCCCTGGAACCTGGGTATTCCTGGCAAAGAGGAAACTGGGCAGGGATCCTGGTTGATCCCCAAGTAGCTTTACTTATCCTCCATTTCTCTTCCCTGAAGCAGACACAGTGGGGAAATTCCAGCGTTGACAGAAGCCTGGCTATTAATTCAATTCTAGGCCGTCGAGGATGGCATAAGACAGGAGTGGGCAACTCTGGCTCAGGAATTCTGGGAATTGAAGTCTGTAGGTCTTATAGTTGCCACCTAATATAAGGACAACCCTTAATATAAGGTCTCCTGCTTGAGCAGGGAGTTGGACTAGAAGACCTCCAAGGTCCCGTTCCAGCCCTAAGACTTTATGGTTCTTTGGAGGCAAAATTCAGCTGCCTTCAAAAATTTGGTGACCTCTCAGTGTTAAAACAGAGATATTTTTTTTGTTTTTGTTTTTCCCAATTTTCCAACTTCTCCATCTCGACTACAACTCTGGAGTTCCTTTGTATAGGCAGTCCTCGACTTATGACCATTTCTTTAACAACCATTTGATGTTACAATGATGCAGAACAAACTTATTTGTGACTGGTCCTTACACTTACAATCAGTGCTCATACTTATGACTAGTCCTTACACTTATGACGATTGCAGAATCCCTGTACGTGTGATCAAAATGCACACACTTAGTAACTGGTATGCATTTACGACGGTGGCAGCATCCCAGGAGTCATGTGATTGCCATCTGAGGCCTTCCGACAAGCAGTCAGTGGAGGAAACCGGACTCACTCAATGACCCCCCCCCCAAAAAAAAAGGGTTGTTAAATTAGATGTGACTAAGTTAATGACCACATCTCTTAGTGACTGAGGTGCTGGTCCCAACTGTGGTCATAAGTCGAGGATTACCCATAGTCTCCCATCCCTGCCTGGCTTTTTTGAGGTCAGCCAAGATCAGTGGTTGATAACGGTGAGCCACTTGGTAAATATTTGTATCAAGCAACCTTTAAAAAATGTGACAGAGGAAAAAAAAACCCCAAATAAATGAGGAACAACCTTATTAATCGAAATTAACCTTTGTCTTGGCCCTGCCTGCTGTGTAACACCAGAGGGTGCCTCTTTTGTACAACAGAGGACAAAAAAAGTGTACAGATATAACACCACACACTAAACTGGTGTTTTTCAAGCAGGGCAACTTTTAAGATAGCTGGCTGGGGGATTCTGGGAGTTGAAGTCATGCATCTTAAAAGTTGCCCAGCTTGAAAAACTCTCCACTAAACCAAACTTCAGATGTCACATTTAGTCAGTTGTGAGAATCCAACCCTGGTGATTAATTTCTGGTTTGGTGCATTGTTTAGATCCATGTGCGGAATTAAAGCATGATAAAGTAAACAGCATCAGTCAAACCCAGAGGTCCCACGTCCTTCCCGTGGCCCTATTCACACCACTCTCGGCAAAATAGTTAGCAGATTTCACTCACTCAACAGGTGGATCGATTACAGGATCTAACATAGTTAATCATAGGCTAGTTTGAAAAGTGCTTAGAAATCACACTCAAAGCTGTTTCTCCCAGAGGCAATAAAAATGCATTGCAAGCTACAGATGGCCCTGCTCGCAAATATAAGCTCCAATTTAACCAGGAAGTGGAACTACAGTCCCCATTATCCTCAGCCAGTACAGTTGAAAAGGAATATGGGAACTGGAGTTCTACACATTTGTAGATTTCCAAGCTAAGGAGTGACTGAAGCCAGTTCTGTCTTTGACAAACAGATGTTCCTATTTTAAGCCAGACCATAAATGAACTTTTTACTAAATTGGGACTTTCCAAGGATTTGGGGCAGTATGGGTTGGTTTGGGTGTGTCTTCTTTTAAAAATATATTTGTAATAAATTTCTGCAATGTAATGAACACTTTTAGTTTGGGAAAAACACAGATATTTAAATAAGCAGAGCGATCAAGGCTGAGAAACGGGCAGGGACTGTTGTATGTGCAAAACCGCGGTGGTGCAAAACACAAGCTCTTAGGAGGTGTGAGGGATCTGTTTACTCTTTGGCTTTTCCAAGATTCAGGAGGTCCAAGGGCAGATTTTTGAAAACCAAAGGGGAAAACACTCAAAATCTTCCCTGCTTCGGGATCCGTCTCACCACCATGGCCAGACGAAGCCCAGCTCAGCACTAGCTGGATTTTCTGGCCACGCTTGCCAAATCAAACCCCAACTCACGTTTCTAGTCCTCAACATTCAAAGCGAGCTCTAGGACTCAAGGCTGACTAGCCTTCCATCCTCCCGAGGTCGCTAAAATGAGGACCCAGATTGTTGGGGGCAAATATGCTGACTCTGTAAACCACTTGAGAGGGCTATAAAGCTCTGTGAAACGGTATATACGTCTAAGTCTAAGTGCTATGGCTATCTTGCTATCTTCCTTCCTTCCTCACTGTGGTTAGAATGCAGTATTGCAGGCTAACTCTGCCCACTGCCAGCAGTTCAATCCTGACTGGTTCCAGGTTGACTCAGATGGGAAGTGCCTGCAGGGCTGAAAATGGGTGCAGAATTGACAAACCTGCTGCCATCAAGCGGTGGATTTCAGGGCGATGGAACGAGACATCCAGACGCAGAACTCAAATTCAGCTTTTAATGCAGGGGATACGGGTGGGATGTTTTAACTGTCTCCCTCCCCAAGACTGGACATTAACTAGGATTTGTGGTCAGAAGTAAATTGATGAGCTATCTTCCTCTCCATCCCCTTTTGCAAAGGGGGGGAGCATAGATGCAACTAATTTCCTCCCCCCCAAATCTTGGGGTACACCCTGGACTGAAAATGCAGGTTGCAATGCTGCTCAAAATGCAGCTTTGATGCTGCAGAAGACCCCCAACTGATGAGCAGACTGACGTCTGCAATTCTCAGCAACAGCCACATCCGCTGGGCGATTCTGGGAATGTAAGCCAGCCTTCCCTGCTCCTCCCCCTCCCCCACACTCCAGGAAAGCAGTTAAACCCACCGATCTTTCCTTCCAGCCAACCTCAAGATTCCCAATCCCATCCCTAAGAATTTCCCAGCGAGGCTGCAAAAGAAAATTTCAAGCTTTAGCATTGTCTCCCTTTTGAGACTCCGTACTCTCCTGCAAATTCATCCCAGGGCGAGTTATTCGAGTGGGGAGGGGACAGATAACAGGATCACCCATGCAAGGAATGGGAGGTGGGGAGGGGTCCATCCAGCTTTGCCTCAATGCTCATTCCAATCTCCCCCTCCCCATCTCCTGCCTCAGGGATTCAGAGCATGCTCTGCAGGAGTCTTTCTCAACTTTAACCACTTTAAGTTGGGTGGACTCCCACTCCCAGAATTCAGCTTGGCTGGCTGGGGAATTCTGGGAATTGAAGTCCACACATCCTCCAGGTTGAGAATCATTGCTCTGCTGGCGGCTAAACGTATTTGACTTCTAGCAAACAATGCTGGTTTTTATCCAAGGATGTTATAGCCACTCGGAACATCCGGAGGAACACTGCTTTGCTGCCCAATGCCATTTAGGGCCCTAAAAAGTGTGCAACGACAACAAGAACGTGAATCCCTCCTCCAGAACAGGGCTAAAACCGCCAATAATACTGGGAGAGGAGAGGGACTTCCGGTAGAGATGCAGTGAGTGTGGACCACATCAAGGTGACTTTTGTGGGCAGTGGGATAATGTTCCTCTTCAGCAATGGGTTCCAGGAATAAGGATAGGCATACAAGAGGATAAAGGCCACAAATTCCCCCCGGAAACAAGGGCCCTACGCATCTCATCCTGGGATAACCATCTGGCTTGTGAAAAAAACACGCCCTGTTAAAGGACGACAAGAGTCTGGGGTCAGCTATCCCCACTTCCCGGATTATATTCCGGCTAAAGTAAAAAAGTGAGCAATTTTTTCCTGCAGCACCACAGAAGATTACAGCCTTAAAACATTGTATTACACTTTCTTCCAGGGGACAATCTCTCACACACATATATCTGCATATATATGTGTATATATATATGTATATATATATATGTATACGCGACTCGGCTTTGCGCAGAGCGGGAAGATTTGAACTCAGTCCCCCGCGGGCAGCACTCGGGTGCCTCCACCCAGAGCACGTTGCTGCACTCGGCAGGGCCGTCCGGAGGCGGAGGGTGTCACTCATGCCTGCGCTTGGAAGGGGGCACCAGGTGGGAAGGGAGTTCGGCTGGCAGCTCATGCCCTTCCAGCTTGACTTTGATGAGATGGTTGGCCAGGGCGAACTCCTCGTCGTCCAGCAGGCCGTCCTTGTCCACGTCGGCCAGCTTCCAGATCTTGCCCAGGACGGTGTTGGGCAGCTTGGACTTGACCATCTCCTTCTTGGCGCTGGCACCCGTGATCTTGCCATTGACGGGCGAGAGAGTGTAGAAGATCTCGTCGTAAGTGGGCTTGTCCTTGCTGACCACCCACTCCACGTCATCAATGCCCTCGCCGGCGCCCTCGCCGTAGCCATGGCCGAAGGGCCCGTTCATGGTGCCTTCAAAAGCCCCGCCCTTCACCACCTGGGAGGGCATCTGTGACTCCTCCTGGCGCACCATCACCATCAGCCGGGCGATGTCGTTGGCCAGCATGTCGTCCACCGCATCCAACAGCTTCTGCTTCAGGGGCTGGAATTTGGTGAAGTCCTGGGTCAGGAGCTGTTCCTGAGGACACACAACCACACCGAATTGTGATTTGGGCCAAGAGACAGCAGCGGGGTCTGTGGACAGCTGGAGAGGTCAACTCCAGGGGTATGGACCACCAAATACCCAAGGAGAATGCTGGGGCCATAACTACTGTTCACAAGAACTTGGTGGGAAGCAATGTACGATCGACTTACAACAGTTCATTTAGTGACCGTCCAAAGTTACAACAACACTGAAAAAAGTGACTTATGACCGTTTTTGCCCCTTACGACCATTGCAGTATCCCTTTGGTGATGCAATCAAAATTTGGACGCTTGGCAACTGACTCATATTTATAACTTTGCAGTGTCTCCTGGGGTCCCGTGATCCCCTTTTGCGACCTTCTGGCAAGCAAAATCAATGGGGAGGCCAGAATCACTTAACAACCGTGTTACTAATTTAACAACTGCAGTGATTCGCTTAACAACTGGGACAAGGAAGGTCATACAATGGGACAAAACTCACTTAACAACTGACTTAGCATCAAAAATTTTGGGCTCAATTGTGGTCGTAAGTTGAGGACCACCTGTATGGAGATAACAAGGCCATGTGCGATCCCAGGTCCTTTCCCACCCCTGGGACACCCACTTCCCAAAGCCTGTCCCTCCCCCCACCCTCGGGGTCTGATCCGGGATTCTACCTGCATCTTTCGGAGGCTGGGAAAATCACCCGGTGAGATCTGATGCTCTCGCTCGATCTTGAGGTAGATCTCACCCAGGTTGTTCAGAAGCTCCTTCTTCTTACTCTCCTTGCCAAAGACGTTGGGCATCTCCTTCTTCAAAGAGCTGATAACGTAGGCGTGGACCTGCCGGGGGTCAGAAGGAAGACGGTTGAGGAGGGGGCCTCTTTACCTAGTCAACACTGGACCGGCTGAGACGTTAGTGGGAGATGTTAGAGCCTTAGAATTGAGGTACCCTTGACTGATGGCGATTTGTTTAGCAACTGTTCAAAGTTATGACGACATTGAAAAAAGTGACTCGTGACTCGTTTTCACCCTTAGGCCCATCACTCCATCCTCATGGTCCCGTGATCCAAACATGGGTGCTTGCAACTAGGATGTATTTAGAACAGCTGCAGGGTCGTGTGATCGCCACTTGTGATCCTCCCAGCCAGCTTCCAACAAGGAAAGTCAATGGGGGGGTGGAGCCAGAATACAGACTAACAAGAGTTGGAAGGGATTCTCATAGGATCAGAGGGCTGGAAGAGGTCTTCTAGTCCAACCCCCTGTTCAAGCAGGAGACCCTATGCTACTCTGGACAAGTGGCTGTCCAATCTTTTTGTAAAAACCTTCAGTGATGGAGCCCCCACAACTTCTAAATAAAAGCATGTGATGTTCCCCTGGTTAATTTTTCTCACTGTCAGGGAATTCCTCCTTAGTTCTAGGTTGTTTCTCTGCTTGATTAGTTTCCATCTGTTGCTTCTTGTCCTGCCTTCTTTCTGCTGCTTTGGAGAATAAGCTGATCCTCTCTTCTCTGTGAGAATCCCTCAAATATTGGAACATTGCTATCATGTCACCCCCGGTCCTTTTCTTCGTTAGACTAGACACACCCAGTTCCTGCAACCGTTCTCATATTTTTAGCCTCCAGACTCCTAATCATGCTTGTTGCTCTTCTTTGCACCCTTTCCAGAGTCTGAACATCTTCTTTATATTGTGGTGACCAAAACTGGATGCAATATTCCAAGTCTGGTCTGACCAAGGCATTATAAAGTGGTATTAATACTTCACGTGATCTTGATTCTATCCCTCTGTTAATGCAACTTTGGACTGCATTGGTTTTTTTGGGCAGCTGCCGCACACGGCTGGCTCCTATTTAAGGGATTGTCCACTAGGACTCCAAGGTTACTACGGTTGAGCCAATATTCTGTACCTGTGCGTTTAGTTTTTCTTGCCTAAGTGTAGGACCTAACTTTTCTCACCGATGAATTTTTTGAGATTAGGCCCACTGTTCAGACTGGACTGGATCCAGTGCTGTTATAAAAATAAATCTAAAGAAAATAAACAGAAGAAGGGGACAGCCCTTCAAATCTGCCGATGCAATTCTGTTGACAGATGGGTCCTCAATTATCTCTGTGGCTCTCAGGGGGTTAGAAAGTTTGAAAGGGTCAAAGCAGCCCTAAAAATAATTCAGATCCAAATTGGCTTAAGCCTCTAAGCCAGCGTTTCTCTAGCAACTTGAAGAGGTCTGGACTTCAACCGAAGTTCAGATCTTTTCAAGTTGCTACTATTGAGAAACATTATTTAAGCCAAAACTTGAAGAAAGGTACAAGTCAGATCTGATTCTTGGTGACTTGGTGGACACAATCCATATAGTTTTCTTACCAGTGATAGAAAAAAATGCCTTGCTACCACCTTCTTCTGGATGCTTTTTCAGCTTTTAACTCTAATCCACAGCTCTGGGATCTCCTGGTGGTGTCCCATCCAAGGAATATAAATCCAGTCCTGCTTAGCTGTATGGGTAGCTTTCAACTTATGAAAATCGGCACTAGAAACCTTCATTGCTAACTGATGCAGTCATTAAGTCAGTTGCGGCCTGTTTAATGACCATGACCTTTCTTGCCATGGTCATTAAACGAATCACCATGGTCATTAAGCGAACCACATGGCTATTAAGCAACTGGCTTCACCCACCTTGTTGGAAGCCCCAGGGAAAGTCACAAATGGGGATCATGGACTCTGCAACTGTGGTAAATACTGGCGGTGAATTTACAAATGCTCCAATTTTGATAATGTGACTGTGAGAATGCTGTGATGGTCATAAGTGCGAGGACTGGTCATAAGTATTTTTTTCATTATTTTCATTAAAGTTTGCCATTATAACTTCCAACAGTCACTAAACAAATGATTGTAAGTGAAGGACTAGCTGTATTGCCTTATTTTTTTCATCCCTGTTGTAACTTCAAATGGTTGGTGAAAGGGCAGTCATAACTTGAGGACTATGTATTAATTGAAACAAGTGATTTACCAATTGCGGTATGGCAGTGTTAGCTAACCTCAGCTGGGGAATTCTGAGAGTTGAAGTCCACACTTCTTAAAGTTAGCAAAACCTGGGTGTGTGAAAACCAACAATACCCCCTTGCACAGCACAAAGGAAGTTTTATGGAACTTGACCAGAATCTGCCCCTTTGCACCAGGAACTCAGACTGTGGGGTTTTCTGGAAATTTTCCTAATTACCTAAAAACCAAAACAAAGACCAGATTTTGCTGAGTGCAACTTCTACTTTCAATTGGCCACATTTCTATAAAAAAAGTTCTTTGTTTTTCGACTCTGCAGAACTCCTGCAGAAAAGGGGTTTTCTTTCTTCAGACATCCGGTTAAATTTTGGGTAAAAGCAGAAAAAAAGGAGGAAGCATTCCCTCTGTGGGCTGCGTGTTACAAAGGTTAACTGGGATTTCACTTTTGATTTTGTATCGCCTTTTAGTACGTCTCTTGAAGCGTAGCCACACAATTGCACGTGTGAACAGTGCTGCAAAAAACAAGGACCAATTTAAGGTTTAATTTCAATTTCAGGTTTTAAATCCTAATTTAAGGGAATTCTAACCACATTCCACTCACCCAGGTGCATCGTCCATTTCCCCATAATGTGGTCATTAAAGCGGGTCCCCCCCCCTCCCCCCTATTGAAGGACCATCTGTTGGAAAGTCCGTGGGTTTCAACAAAGGGAGCTTTTAAGAGAGTTGTACCCTAGAAAGCTTCTGCTGCCACTGTTTATGCGCTCACACAAAAACAGCACATTTCTAAAAATAGGATGCTTTCGGTGGGAAATTCTCTAAGCCATCCCTACAGTCTCAGCTTTTTGGAATCAATACCCCAAAAGGCCAGATTTTTCTATGAACAGAGCCAGTACCAGACATGCAGTAAAAGAATACAGTAAATAAAAGTGATCGTCACACATATCTAATTTTTAAATTTCAAAACTTTTAAACTTGAAAAAAAAATAGAAAGTCCGCAGTAATTGTTGGACATCAGTCTTAAAGTTGCCAAGTTTGGAGACCCCCCCCCTTGGTTTAGGGAGTTGGCGAGGGTCCTGCCTGTGTATGGGGAAGGACAGGCAGAGCCTGGGGGCGATGTCAAGAGAGGAATCAGCCTGGAGTTGTTACATTCTCACAAACGGTCTAAGTTCAACTCTTCTTGAATTCTGTTAACTCTTATCTCCCGACCTTTAACTAGATTATTTTGTATAGGCATGAGCAATAAAATCAGCTTAACTGGAACTTAACTTAGAGAGGGGCTGTAAAGCACTACGGAGGGGTCTACAGGTAGTCCTCGACTTACGACCACAATTGAGCCCCATTTTTTTTGTTGCTGAGATATTTGTTAAGTGAGTTTTGTCCCATTTTACGACCTTCCTTGCCACAGTTGTTAAGAGAATCACTGAACTTGATAAGTTAGTAACATTTCTGGTTTCCCCGTTGACTTTGCTTGTCAGAAGGTCGCAAAAGGGACCATGGGATCCCAGGACACTGCAACGGTCACAAATACGAGTCAGATCCCAAGCAATTGAAATTTGATCACGTGACCATAGGGATGCCGAAACAGTTGTAAGTGTGAAAAATGGTCATAGGTCGCTTTTTTCCGTGCTCTTGTAACTCTGAACGGTCACTAAGTGTATGGTCATAACTCGAGGACTACCTGTATATGTCTTAAGTGCTATTGCTGGGTGCTATTAATGTGTGGTCCTGATTCTTTCTGCCTGACAGACCAATCCATACTAGCCAGACTCCAAAGATGCCCCACGGCTACTGGTCCCCCATTGCCACTGCGACCTCCTTCATCCCCAACCGTCCCCCAAACACAGACAGCGCTTCTGACCTTGGCCAGCCGGGCCCTCTTGATAAGGTCGTTCAGCTTCCGGAGAGCCGCATTGCGGGGCAGCGACTGGATGTCCTTGAAGAGGTCTTGTTCCTCCGCCTCAAAGAGTTTACGGTTGTCCGGGATGAGCAGCGGGTGCGACCAGAAGGATCCGATGTAGACGCGCACCACTTCCGGGGTATTGATGATCTTGCCCAGCGACCACATCAGCGCCCCATAGACCCGCATCAGCTGCTGCGTCTCGATCTGGTCCGCCTTGTTCAGCACCACCCGAATCTTGTCCTCGTGGTTCTTGAGACCTTTGATCACCTCCGAAAACTCATCCGAGATGTCCAGCTTGTGGGCGTCGAAGAGCAGGATGATGCGGTCCACCCGCTCGGCAAACCACTCCAGCACGGCGGCAAAGTCGTAACCTGCGGCGAAACAGAGACCGGAGAAGGCAGAGGTCAGTGGCTGGGAGTGCCTCGCCGGCCCCATTGGGAAAGCCCAGCTCGTTCAGTGGAGTTGAATTCGTATGGCCAAGTCCTTCAGATTTTGGGGGACCAAAGCCTGCAAGATTGGCACGCAACTGGGGATGGGGGGTTTGAGTCTCCTGCCAGGCTGTCCCAAAGGTGATTTTTTTCAGGAGGCAACTGGACTTCTTTTGAGGACGTTTTGCTTTCCAGTTGCCTCCTGAAAAAGCACCTTTGGGAAAACCGTACCTGGATGACTGAGAACCTCCGTAGACATCCTGCCAGGCTGAGCTTTGCAAATTCAAACTTTCTCATGTACCACAGAGCCTTAGTGAGACCACACTGGGAATAACTGCATTCAGCTCTGGTTACCACAATATAAAAAAGGACGTTGAGACTCTGGAAAGGATGCAGAGAAGGGCAACAAAGACGATTGGGAGGGGAGGGGCTGGAGGCTAAAACATAGGAAGTACGGTCGCTGGAATTCGGTACATCTAGTCTAGTGAAAAGAAGGACCGGGGGAACATAAGTAGTCTTCCAATGTTTGAGGGGCTGCCACAAAGAAGGGGGGGTCAACTTGTTATCCAAAGCACAGAAGGCAGGACAAGAAACAACGGATGGAAACTGACCAAGGAGAGAAGCAACTGGATGGCAGAATCAGAAGCAGGCCATGTGTATCCCCAGAGAAGTCTGTTGTAACTCTGAAGTGTTGATAAGAACCCAGATTGTAAGTCAAAGACTATCTGTATGCAATAATGTGTCCTTGAAGAGGATTCTACCATCCCAGCAGGGATTCATGCTCTGTTTCTTTCTGAACCATGAGGACTAGAACCTTATTTTTTTCATAAATGTTTACTGAACACTTTACAAAAACATAAACAGAGAAAAAACAAAGAAAATGTTTTACAAAAAATGAAGGAAGGAAGGAAGGAAGGAAGGAAGGAAGGAAGGAAGGAAGGAAGGAAGGAAGGAAGGAAGGAAGGAAGGAAGGAAGGAAGGAAGGAAAAGAGACAGGGAGGGAGGGAGGGAGGGAAGGAAGGAAGGTTCAGTTTTCCTTTGCAGTAAATCTAAGTACAATTACAAAAATGTCTCTTCCTCTAGGATTACAAAAGAAAGCTCACTGTTATCTCCATTTTTTTCCTAATCACAAATAATAAGTGCCTTTTTTCCATTTTATGTAAAAATGTCTATTATGGGGTTTCCACTCAGCCACAAACACAGATATTGTTTTCCCTTTAAGTCAAGAAGCTTAATTTAGCCATCTTTTGCAAATTTAACAAGCTCGGGAATCTCATCCATTCTACCATCCAGATTCGTACCGAATCCAAATCTCTCCCTTTTCTTCTGAATCCTGAGGACTAGAACCTTATTTTCTCTGGAGGGAAGCATTACTACTCTGCCAAAACAGAGAGCTTGCTAGATGCCAGGCCAGAGAGGAAGAAGGACAGTTCCCCTGTCTCAAATCCAGGAAGACAAAAAGACAGAAAACTATCTAACGTTGCACAAGCTAACTTCCTTGGAACAGAGCGGGAGAGTTACTCCGTGCTGAAATCACCTCTGGCTATCAAACCTATTTGCAAATTATGGAAATATGCGCCTGGGAGGGAGATGCACAGAGACTTTCTTGAGAAGGGAAAACATTCTAGGCATGCACTTATGGCACCCCTCCCAAATGTCTCTGCAACAGGAAAACTCCAAAGTTTTTCCCGGCATTGCCAGATGTTAGTCATTTTGAAGAAAGGAAAAAACACTCAGGGTGGAGGGTTCCACGTCAGTCACATGGGCGCCGAGAATGTGGAGCCGGTCAGCCGGGCACACAAAGATTTGCTTAGTCCTCGACTTACGACCACAATTGAGCCCAACATTTCTGTCGTTAAGTGAGACATTTGCTGTGTTTCCTGGGGTCACGGGATCCCCTTCAGCGAACTTCTGATGAGCAAAGTCAATGGGGAAGCTAGTTTCACTTAACCGTGTAACTAACTTAACAGTGGCCATGATTCACAACTACTGTGGCAAAAAAGGCCGTAAAATTTTAATCAAATTTTAACTAGGTGTAATTTGTTAGCTTTTTATCATTTGTCAGCCGCCCTGAGTCCGAAAGGAGAAGGGCGGGATATAAATACAATAAATAAATAAATAAATAAATAAATAAAATGGGGCAAAACTCACTTAATAACTGTCTTGCTTAGCAACAGAAAATTTGGGTTCAACTGCGACCGTAAGTTGAGAACTACCTGTATTAATGTCTGAAACACCATTCCAAGAATCAAATGCAGTTCCAGGATTCTCAGACCACAACAACCGCATAAATATCAATATCAGTCAATTCAGATTAAGAACAGCTCTATTAAAGAAAAAAGCAAAAAAAATTGTGTCAAGAGATTTGGACAGAAAAGCAGTCAACGAATATCCCCATTTTGCAAACCAGGAACACAGAGCAATTTTTAAAATGAATCCACAACATTAGAATAGAATAGAGCTGGAAGGGACCTTGGAGGTCTTCTAGCCCAAGACCTCCGCTCAAGCAGGAGAACCTATACCAGTGGTGGCAAACCTATGGCACGGGTGCCAGAGGCGGCACTCAGAGCCCTCTCTGAGTGCCGCCCAATCCTAGGCCTTCAGCTGGGTTTTGTAAAACCTTTTCGCTTTAGGCTTCCGCTGCCGTGTGCAAAAAAAAAAAAGGTTCAATCAATCAATCAATTTCAACTTCTCGCAGGAAAAAAATAGTTCTTGCAAAGTTGGAATTGATTGATTGAACTTTTTAGTCCCACCCAGTCTGCCGTTAGCACTGCAGCCACGCCCACACAATGGGCCACACCCAGCTGGCACCCGACGATACATAAGTGGGTTTTGGGTTGCAGTTTGGGCACTCGGTCTCTAAAAGGTTCGCCATCACTGACCTATACTGTCTCAGACAAGTGACTGTCTAGCCTCTTTTTAAAAATCTCCAGTGATGGAGCGCCCATGATTTCTTCCTGGTTAATTGTCCTTACAGTCGGGAAGTTTCTCCTTAATTCCAGGTTGCTTCTCTCTTTGATCAGTTTCCAACCTTTGTTACTTGTCCTGCCCTCTGGTGCCTTGGAGAATAGCTTGACCCCCTCTTCTTTGTGGCAGCCCCTCAAATACTGGAACATTGCTATCATGTCTCCCCTATTTCTTCTTTTCTTTAGACCGGCCAAACCCAAGTCCGGCAGCCATTCTTCATATGTTTTAGTCTCCAGGCCTTTGATCACCTTAGTTGCTCTTCTCTGATTTTTTCCCAAACTCTCAACATCTTTTTTGTGATATGGTGACTAAAATTGTGATATGGTGACCAAAATGCTTAAGGACATTTTTTAAAAAATTATTTGCAATCTCTCAGGGCCAGAAAATTGCATCAGCATTTTGCAGTCCCTGATGGGGTGAGTGGCCCACAATTTCCCACAGGGGTTTTTCTGATCTCAGCAGTTTTAGAACAGTTCACTATTTTCCTGTTGCAGCTTCCTGCAGGGGAAACCCAAAACTTTGTGCCTGTGTGTTGCTAAACCTGTCACAATGCTGCTGATGCATTCCCCAACTCAAATCTAAGTTACTTGCATTTTTCTACACTTCCACCAAAATCCCCTTTAATGCCCTTCTGAGACACTCCAGTGCAGTGTTTAAAGTGTTTCTAGTGCAATTTAAAAAGGTCTAGGGCTGCTATCATGTCACTTGTAATCCTTCTTTAACTAAAACAGGGGTCTCTAAAGTTGGAAATTTTAAGACTTGTGGACTTCAACTCCCAGAATTTCCCAGCCAACATGACTAGCTGGGAAATACTGGGAGTTGAAGTCCACGAGTCTTAAAAGTTGCCAAATTTGAAGACCCCTGCAGGAACTGGGTATGGGTAGCCCAGGGGTCTTCAAATTTGGCAACTTTAAGACTCAGCATCCTATCAGCTCAACCTCTTCTGTGCTTTGACTCTTTAGAGTCAAATAAATCACTGCTTTTCAAAAATGAGTGTTTCAGAACAGACTTTTGCCCCCCACAGCAGGTCTGGTTTGTTGGAAAAATTCAAAACATTTAAAAGCAAGTTACAGGTAGTCCTTGACAGTTCGTTTAGTGACTGTCCAAAGTTACAACGGCATTGGAAAAAAGCGACTTATGACTGATTTTGTTAAATTTCACTTAACAAATTTTGGGTTCAATTGTAGTCATAAGTTGAGGACTACCTGTATTACAGAAACCAACTTACTGGGCTGAAATCAAAAGACCGTATTTACTTGCAAGGGTTTCAACCCACTCAAGGGCACTGCATTTTTGTAGAATACTCTAACCACCACCCCTACTTTGCAAAGTGAGCAGACAACTCAGAAATAACATGCTGCATTTTCCCGATCTGCAGATTTATGCTCATGCTTACTTCTCAGTATTTACAATTGCAAAGAAAAAAAAATCAAGGGAAAGAAAAACACGAATGTCTCAACTTTAGCCGGCTAGATTTACACTTGAATAAATATACTGATTTTTATTTTTAACAGATCGCTGCCTGGAAGAACGCCCCAAGCTTAGATTTTACCCACCCCAGGCACTTAAAACCATTCATCTACGCCAAGTCCAAGTTATGGAACAATTAAACTCTTAAAAAGCCAAACATTTTCCTGTGGAAAACTGTAGTAGCAGCAGAAAAAAATGTTCTCCTTGGAAGACAAATCCATTGCATGTCAATGTCGCATCCAGTAACGGAACTGGGCTCGGCATCTGGTAACCAAAACTCATTGGGTTATGAACCCGTGATGAATAAATCTAACCTGCTGTGGCCCAGTTCACACACTGCAATAACAATGCGAAATAAAAAACCTCTTTTTTAATGTTTTAATTAATTGAGTTTTATAGTTTTAAGTGATTTTTCAGATGATCCTCAACTTACAGCCATTCCTTTAGTGACTGTTTGAAGTTACAGCAGCACTGAAAAAAGTGACGTATGACCATTTTCCTATATAATTATTTTAAGCTATGTAAATATTTCAGATAAAATATTTCAGATAAAATAATTTTTCTAATACAGGTTAATTAATATATATTTTAATTTGGCTTTTAAATATTTATTGTATAGCTCTGTTTTTATTTACCTGTAAGCCGCCCTGAGTCCCTCGGGAGAAGGGCGGGGTATAAATTAAAGTAATAAATAAATAAATAAATAAATAAATAAATAATAAATAAGCTTTAATAGGGTCCAGCTTGGCTTGGCCTAAGCATTTATGCAATGAAACAGTGAATAGAAATAGAAATAGAATAGCTGGAAGGGACCTTGGAGGTCTTCTAGTCCAGCCCCCTGCTCAAGCAGAAGAACCGTCCTATATCATCTCAGACAGGTGAATGTCTAGTCTCAAGTTTTTCTCAAGTTGCAGTGAAGAACACACTGCAGATCACTCAAATGCATCACCCAAGTCGGTCTTTTTCAAAGACAGGAAAAACACGTACAGGGGCTCAGCTGCACCCTGACTTTGCAGTTGTTTAAACTCTTCAACACTGAGCATGCACAATCTGTCTTCAGTAAGCGTAAGGTTAGGCCACTGTTGCCCAATCTTGTCAAGTTTAAGATCGGTGGATTTCAACACACACACACACACCCCAGAATTCCCCAGCCAATATGCTTTAAGAAGGGTGGACTTAAACTCCCAGAATTCTGGGAATTGAACTTCATGCATCTTAAACTTGCTAAGGTCGGGCAAGACTGGGTGAACATTTTAGTTTTTTTAGAAAAGTGGGATGTGCAATTCTCAAAAGCAGCATTTTTCTGGCCAGGGTTTTTATCACCCAGCATGAATTCAGAGATGCTCACTGTTCCTTGTACCTCCAGGGGAGGGGGGGGGCTGGGGATGATGGGAGCAACCCTAAGCACATGCAGACAATGCCAGAGGCAGCAAAAGTCTTCCGAACTCCCCTTCTCTTCTCTCCCCAAGTTAAAATTTTTAATATGCACTTTTTAAACCTACCCAGCAGCCCTGTTGCTTTGCCGAAGTGCAAACCCTGCCAGTTTATGGACCCAGACTAACCGCGACCGAGTGTGACAAAGGCACACCTGGAGACACACATCGAGTCCGTAAGCCACAGTCCAGCAGGGATGTGCAAAAATGACACTTCTGGCCCCGGGTGCGAAGTTAGAACAAAATGTTTCCAGGGAGAACGGACCCTCATCTGCCCTCTGCCTGGGAAAAAAACCCACACCAGAGTTTCCATCTCCGCCTTCCCTTATTTGGCACGAGTGTCCCGAGAATGTCTGAAGGCAGCTCCCAAAGGGATCGAGTCACTCACGACACAGGGAGAATAAGCACACGCTTGTCTCCACCCAGGAGAGGTGGGACTGACTTACTCAGCCCTGGAGAGCAGAGAGGCGCATGCCTAATCGTGGGGCCCGAAACCAGAAAAATCCTGCACTGGATTTCAGGGGGGAGGGGGGCACAAACGCCCAGGGTCAAGCCGGCCTTATCACAGATTGCAGCGTTTCCTGCCCGCAGCGGCCAGTCAAGCCGGGGATTTTGACTCAGCTAGGAAAGTTTCCACCCTGCGTTCCTGCAGAGAGAAATGCACCACTCGGAGTCCCAAACGTGGCAGGGGACACAGATGGAGAGCTTGGGAAGGCTCCCCCCAGAGTGAGGAGGGGGCCCGCCGAGACCTGTCAAGGAAGGAAAGAAGGGAAGGGGAGAAGCATCTGAGAAGGGGCAGCTATTTTTACCCGACTGAGTCCTTGGCCGGTGCTGTATTACACTCATCAACCTGCATGGGAAACCATGTTCTCCCTCAAGGTATGGAACACAGAACAACAAGGGATGGAAGGGACCTTGGAGGATTTCTAGTCCAGCCCCCTGCTCAAGCCTGGATCAGTGGAATGGCTTGCTTCCAATACTGGAGGTTGTTAAGAAGAGACTGGGCAGCCATTTGTCCGAAATGGTACAGGGTCTCCTGCTTGAGCAGGGGGTTGGATTAGAAGACCCCCAAGGTCCCTTCCAACTCTGTTATTCTGCTTCCAGAATGCAATTCCTTCCTGGGGCTCTGGACAATGGGAAGGGAGAGGTGGGAAACAAAGCCCCTTACCCATTAGGGACTTTTGGGGGGAAAAAGAGCTTATGACTTCTGGTTTTGATACTCAGCTAAGACAGATTATAGATAGAAGAGAGTTACGGTATGTTGTAACTGTAGGGCAAGAAGTCAATTTATAACTCTATTTATAATTGTCGTAAAGAAGATCAAAAGCCACTTCTTTGTATTTTTTTCCTGTTCTATTTTTATTTTCCCCCCCTTTTTCAGCTTTCTCTTTGGTTTCTACCTTTTCCCCTTTTCTCTTACTTTTCATGAGTTTGTATCTCCTTTTGTCTTCTTTTCTAAAGCTATCTATCTATCTATCTATCTATCTATCTATCTATCTATCTATCTATCTATCTATCTATCTATCTATCTATCTATCTATCTATCTATAGTAGATCTTTAGCAATGGATTTTGTGAGTGGAGGGAAACTTTCTTCTCCAAAGATATGAAAAGCAGCTCTTAGGCTAGAAGTGCAGTGAGTTGGCTCCAATTTTACAATCTTTTTTGCTCACCGTAGGCAAGTAATTCATGTGGCCATTAAGCGAATCGTATGGTCTTTTAAGCTAACCTGGCTTCCCCCATTGACTTTGTCGGAAGCTGGCTTGGAAAACCGCAAAAGGGGATCGCATCACAAAATCCAAAATCCAAAATTCCCGCTGTCTCCTTTACAGCCCAGGAAAGGTCCCGTATTCTCCAAGGCGTTCATCCATCTCCCAAGGTCTTTCTCACGTATGATTACAGTGGGAACAGAATATAGAATATAGAATGGAATGGAATAGCTGGAAGGGACCTTGGAGGTCTTCTAGTCCAGCTAGTCCCTGCTCAAGCAGGAGAACCTGTACCATTTCAGACAAGTTTAATTTAATTTATTTATAAAAATTACTGGCCGCCCATTTTACGATAGGGTAACTCTGGGCGGCTAACAGTTACATCTAAGTAAAAAAATAAAAAATTAAAATCAAACGTTAAAACCAAGGACATACGGGGAGGACGGGGGTGGAGGTGAGATCTGTTCTTAATCAACCACCTCCATTGTGCTGTTCCACCACTGGGGCCCCAGGCTAACTGGCAGAGCCAGGTCTTTAGGCCCTTATGAAAAGATAGGAGGGTTGGGGCCGACCTCACATGGGGGGCAAGATGTTCCAGAGGGCAGGAGCCACAGCAGAGAAGTCCCCCCTCCCGGACCCCACCAGCCGGAATAATCGGACTGACGGGACCTGCAGGATGCCTCCTCTGCCGGCACGGGTGGGACGGGCCAATCCCAGTGGGGTGAGGGGGTCCCTCGAGTAAACTGGAGGGCCACGGAGGGCTTTCAAGGGGGTCACCGACACCTTGAATTGCACCCGGAAGCAGCCTGGTCACAGGGGCCATTTTTGGGCCCCCAAAACTGCCCACGTTGCCACACTGTGCGCAAGCTGTAGCTTCCAAATGCTCTTCAAGGGTAGCCCCATGGAGAGCGCATTACAGTAGCCCAGCTGTGAGATGACTAGGGACTGAATGACTGAGCGCAGCGAATCCTGGTCCAGGAAAGGCCGCAACTGGCACCTTTTTTTTTCCTTTTTGTGGAGGGAACAAAAGGAGGACCCACAACCTTATAACCCCACACACACACCCACACCCACACACTCTCTCTCTTTTAAGCCTCACCTCTGCTTATCCGCTGTTTCTCCCCGGACAGGATGCCCGGCGTGTCGATGATGCTGATGCTGTCCAGGACGGGGTTTGGCAGCTGTGCACACATAAATCTGCAAAGAAGGGTAAAGGACAGGATTAGGAGGCTGGCGGCCCTGCGCACAAGCAGGGGCAGAAACTGGGGTCTTAGGGTGACATTTTTGCCATTCTGCTTGAACTGGTCATTTCCTCCCCCCCCCCCCCCCCGCGAAACGTAGGGGATGGAATCATTCATTAAACTTGCACGGGAGGAGACCACAGCTGTCGTGACATCGGGGATGGGCAAACCCTGAGCTTTCCCATTTTGACTCCTTCAAAACCTCCGCAGATGACAAGTCGGGAAAACTTTGGCTTGCTAAGGCTGGAAAGGCATGGATAGAATAGAGCTGGAAGGGACCTTGGAGGTCTTCTAGTCCAGCCCCCCGCTCAAGCAGGAGAACCTATACCACCTCAGACAGGTGTCTGTCCAGTCTCTTCTTAAAAACCTCCAGTGATGGAGTATCCACAACTTCTGGTGGCAGGCTGTTCCACTGGTTAATTGTCCTCACTGTTAGGAAGTTTCTCCTTAATTCCAGGTTGCTTTTCTCTTTGGTCAGTTTCCAACCATAGTTTCTTCCTCTGATGCTTTGGAGAATAGTCTGACCCCCTCTTCTTCCTGGCAGCCCCTCAAATGCTGGAAGACTGCTATCTTGTCACCACCCCCATTTCTTCTTTTCTTTAGAAAAGGAGTCTTTTAAAAGCAGAAGTCTTTTTAAAGGCCTGCTTCTGCATTAGAAAGCAAAGGAGGATACCCCAAGTTATGTGTGGGGGTTGTGTGCGCATATGTGTGCAATCCCAGCCCCCCCCCCCCCGCCATTCATCATCCTACCCTCCCCAGGGTCCTTCCTTTTCAAACTATCGAAACATCCCAGAGAAGTGTCACGAGTTCAAGTTCCAGAGAATGCACTGGGACATAGAACATAGAATCCAAGGGCTGGAAGGGACCTTGGAGGTCATGTAGTCCAACTCGCTGCTCAAGCAGGAGACCCTATAGCATTTCGGACAAATGGTTGTCCAATCTCTTCTTGAAGACCTCCTGGCACCCACAACGTCTGGAGGGAAGTCATTCCACCGGCTGACTGTTCTCACTGTCAGGGAATTCCTCCTTCGTTCCAGGTTGCTTCTCTCCTTGATGAGTTTTCATCCGCTGCTTCTTGTCCTGTCCTCAGGCCTTCTGGAGAATAGCACCTGAGGGCAGGGCAAAAAGTAACGGATAGAAGCTTATCAAAGAGAGATCCAATCTGAAACTAAGGAAAAACCTCAAGGTCTCTCTCCATTTTTCTGATTCTCTACTTTCCGGTCCAAAGTCCAGGCTACCCAGCATAGCAGCAGCCCTGCTTTGTTGCAAAAGCATTCAACAAACCAGCAATGTGGAGGAATCCGAGACCAACAGGTTCAAAGATCACAAAAACTGGCCTCAGGAGAGGCAGACACAGCCACAACCAGAGGATCCAACCATTTGTCCCTTCTGCCTGTCCTCAACAAGGGCCCTCAGATGTGAGAAATTTTAGAATATAATAGAGTTGGAAGGGACCTTGGAGGTCTTCTAGTCCAGCCCCCCCTGCTCAAGCAGGAGAACCTATGCCATCTCAGACAAGTGACTATCAAGTCTCTTCTTAAAAACCTCCAGTGATGGAGCACCCATGATTTCTGGAGGCAAGCTGTTCCACTGGTTAATTGTCCTCACTGTCAGGAAGTTTCTCCTTAATTCCAGTTTGCTTCTCTCTTTGGTCAGTTTCCAATCATTGTTTCTTGTCCTGCCCTCTGGTGCTTTGGTGAATAATGTGACCCCCTCTGCCTTGTGGCAGCCTCTCAAACACTGGAAGACTGCTATGATGTCTCCCGTTTCTTCTTTTCTTTAGACTAGCCCAGGGGTAGGCAACCCAAAACACTCAAAGAGCCACTCGGACCCATTTCCCACCGAAAACAAAACACTGGGAGCCGAGTCCGAGCACCAGGATAATATTAAAACAAAAACTGTTTAATACAAAAGCTAAAGCTAAGCTTTCGTCGGCCAACACTGCCGACATCATCAGAGCATAATACAAGATTACTGGGAGTCCTTTTTATATTGCCAGACGGCTCTGCGCCCGGCTTCTCGATCTAGTCATCGGTCTGTCCGTCTTCTCTGCTTGGTTTGTTCTTAAAGGGTACGCGTCTCTTGCTGTCTTGGTATCTTCCGAGGTTACTATTTTCTTTTTCCTGGGCTCAATCACTTTCTTTCTGCTAGCATACGCCGGTTGCTTTCGCTCGCTTATACTTATCCTCTTTTTTGTTCTATTCCGGGATCCATCTGATCTTCTCCTTGATGGGGTTGTGCGCCTGTGTGCTCGGGGGCATTGGGTTTTTTAGTCCCTCTTCATCGTTTGCTAGTTCTTTTGCCCTTCTTGTGCGCGTGCAGGGTCCCGTGGCGTGGCTTTCCATCGTTTGCTCATGGATCTCTTTTTTGTAATTGTCAGTGTAGTGTCTCGTCCCCCCCCTCTTGTTAGCGGGGGTCGTGGTGCGGGTGCCCCGTGGGTTGTCATCCAGCCATCCGTGTCGTTCGCACCCATTATTTCTCCTTGTTGTGGGGTGGATTGGGGTGTGCGTATTTGAGGTGTCTATGGGGGATGTTTTTTGTCTCTTCTCTGTTCCCCTTATAGGATATGTTGTGAGTTCGTTGTGAGCTATGGTGTTGTTTTTCCCATATCTTAAGTGTTTGGTATGCAGGGCAAAGTTCTATATGGCGATTGATAGAATCGCCGCCAGAAAGCCAGGCTTCCTTGAGTAGGCGGCCTCCCTTAGTGGTATCCCTGGATAGAGGTTGTGCACTGGTAAGATCAAATTCATGCCCATAGTTGGTCATATGGGTCCCGTCTTTTAACTGCCAGTGCATGCTCATGCACCCTAGTTTTTAACCTTTTAGTAGTCTCCCCAATGTAATTGCAGGAACAGTCCTTGCACTTGATCTTGTATATTATTGAAGATTTTTCCTCATTGGGGAGTGGGTCTTTTGGGTGCATGATCTTGGTCCTTAAAGTTTGGTCTGGTTTATGGGCCACCTCTATATTAAAGGGGGCCAGTAATCTGGCTGTTGCCTCTGACACACTGTTGATATATGGGAGAGGGATACGCACATTTTGCGTTGTCATCCTATCGGCTTTTTGCAAGTCTTCACAGGACCTGTCTGGTCTACTATACTTCCTGATAAATTCGGTAGGGTATCCATTGTACTTACAGGTTCGAAAGAGGTGGTTTCTTTCTTCAGTTTTGGTCATGGTTGTACTGCAATGTGAGTCTATCCGTTTGAATATGTATGTATGTATGTATGTATGTATGTATGTATGTATGTATGTATGTACGTATGTATAGAAAAAAACGAACACCAGGATAAAAATAAAACAAACCTGTTTAATACAAACAAGTTTGTAAGTAAAAGAATTACCAAGCTTTCATCGGCCCGACTGCCGACGTCATCAGGGTTGGAATGCTAGGTGATTAGGAAGCTTGCCTATATAGCTACCTGTCTCTGCGCCTGGCTTCTCGAGTGCATAATCGGCCCATTAGTTGTATTACTCTGCAACGTGCTAAGTTGATTCACATCCGGCAGCCTGTTGATGGACCCGGTGGTTATGCCCAGATCCTCCGTATGTATGTATGTATGTATGTATGTATGTATGTATGTATGTGTTTGTGTGTGTGTATATATAAAATAAAGGTAAAAAAGGATATATGCAGTGTTATCTTCATTTTAGATGTCAAAAGGGTCTCTCTCTTTGTCTCTCTTTCCTCTTTCCTTTCTCTCCCTCCCTCTTTCCTCTCTTTTTTCTTTCCTTTTTCCTCTCCCCCTCTCTTTCTTTCTCTCTTTCCTCTCTCTTTCACTCTCCTCTCGCCTTTCTCTTTCCTCTCCTCTCTTTTTCCTCTTTCCTCTCCCTTTTGCTCCCTCTTTCTCTCTTTCCCCTTTCTCTTTCCTCTTTCTCTCTTTCCTCTCTTTCTTTCCTCTTTCTCTCTCTTTCCTCTCTTTCTGTCTCTCTCCTTTCTCTTTCCTCTTTCTCTCTCTCTCTCTTTCCTCTCTTTTTTTTCTTTCCTTTTTTTCTCTCTTTCCTCTCCGTCTCTTTCCTCTCTCTTTCTCTCTTTCCCCTTTCTCTCTTTCCTCTTCTCTTTCCTCTTCTCTTTCTCTTTCCCTTTCCTCTTCTTTCTCTTTCCCTCTTTCTCTTCCCCCCCACTCTCTCTCCCTCTCTCTCTCTCCCTCCCCCCCCTCTCTCTGTAAAAGTAATCCTGATCTATATGATGTTGTCTTATATGGCTGACACAGTAACATGAAAAGAAGGGGCACAAACTAGATGCATCTTCTGGTAACCTTAGAGGACAGTGTGATGTTTGTAAGCAATATAATCCTGCACTGAAAAGTGAGCTGAGGAACTGACTTGGGTGTTGCTGAACTATAACACCTGCTGATAGGACTCTGGGAGTTGTAGTTCAATCCTATCTGGAGGATCAAAGATTTCCTTCCCAGATATATAGGATGTTTAGAGAAGACATGAGGAAGAACACCAATAAAGCTCCCTTATGCCATTAATCTTTTGTGCAGGAGCACAGTGTCTTAATGGCAATGAAATTACCCTGGTGAACTGGGAATTGCCAAAGATTATAGCTAACAATGAATTTAGTGAAGTGCCTGTGGCACAAAACTCCAATTTATACAAAGTATGGGCGGGGAGGGGGAGCAGGATGGGAGGCAGTGGCCCCGGTGGCGGCGGTGTGGCCCAGCCGCTGCCCCCGCCGCATCCTCAGCTGAACGGGCGGGGAGGGGGAGCAAGACGGGAGGCAGTGGCTCCGGCCACTGCAGCATCGTCGGGGGTCCCCACCGCCCCCAGTCCGGCCGCCGCTGCATTCTCAGCCACTCCGCCGTCGGAAGAGGAGGGCGCCAAGGCCGGGTGCACCATGGGCGGCTGCACTGGCAACAGGGAATGCCGCCGTGCGGACGTCCTGACCCGCCACCGCCCTCGCAGCCCAAGGTCTCCTTCTCCTGCAGCACCGAGGGCGGCAGCGACAG